GTCAAATGGAGTAAAAGTTTCCAAACAACATACCCGTTTTACTCCAAATTGAGGTAGAGTACGAACCTCAATACGCTCACCCGAGGTCGAGTACGAACCTCGGCAACATTCGTTTTACTCCAAATCGAGGTCGAGTACGAACCTCAATACGCTCACCCGAGGTCGAGTAAGAACCTCGACAACATTCGTTTTACTCCAAATCAAGGTCGAATACGAACCTTGACAAAACTCGTTTTACTCCAAATTGAGGTAGAGTACGAACCTCAATACGCTCACCCGAGGTCGAGTAAGAACCTCGACAACATTCGTTTTACTCCAAATCAAGGTCGAATACGAACCTTGACAAAACTCATTTTACTCCAAATTGAGGTCGAGTACGAACCTCAATACGCTCACCCGAGGTCGAGTACGAACCTCGGCAACATTCGTTTTACTCCAAATCGAGGTCGAGTACGAACCTCAATACGCTCACCCGAGGTCGAGTACGAACCTCGGCAACATTCGTTTTACTCCAAATCAAGGTCGAGTACGAACCTCGACAAAACCCGTTTTACTCCAGATTGAGGACGAGTATGAACCTCGATGCGTTCATTCGAGGTCGAATCCGAACCTCGATGATATTCATTTTACACAAAAACTGAGGTCGAGTACGAACCTCGATACAATTCATTTTATGTAAACCTGAGGTCAAGTTCAAACCTTAGGACGTCCATCTGAGGTCGAATTCGAACCCTTAATACAGTCTATCCTACTCTAAAAACAAGATTGAGCCCGATAAGACAGAAAAACAATCAAAGTAAGGAAAATCGAATCTCGAAGAACAATATATATACAAAACACTTGCAGAGTTTGACACTTGAGTTCAAAGGAAAATACTAAACAAGGAAATGAAAAAGGGAGAAATAAACTAAGCTATTACAAAGGCGGCCTAGGCTGAGGCATTCTCACTAGAACTGTCATCGACATCGTCCTCCTTGACCAGCCTCCCAAAGCGGACAACCTTCTCCACATGCATGGAGGAAAAGTCGAACCCGGGAGCAAGGAGTCGTGCCTGACGAGCAGCCTTCTGGAAGCCCCTCTTGTGCTCCATCACAACGGAGCGTTCGACCTCCGCAAGCCTCCCTTCCACGGCCGCTTTCCCCATCGCCAGCTCTGTAAGCTCCGCCCTCAAGGTGGCAATCTCGTCCTCCCGGCCACCAAGAATGACCTCGCTACGAAGGCGCTCCTCAGCCGCCACCGCCAACTCTCCTTTGAGAGAAGTCACGACATCCTCCAGAGCCCGCACTTGGGCACGGAAAGACGTCACCTCATCCTCCAAAGAGCGGGCACGACCCCGAGAGAAGGCGACGAGCTCTTGCAGCTCCCCCACCTGGGAGGCATAAGCCTCGTTGGATCGCAAGGCGATCTCAAGAGACTTCTGCACCCTTGCAAGGTCGCCCCTCGCAGATCGAAGCTCGGCCTCCCGCAGCTTCGCCTCACCAAGGGTAGCACTAAGAACCTTGTTCTCCTCCCTCAGGATCTTATTAGCATCCTTCCAGGGATGAATTCGGCCCCTCAGCTTGGCCAGATCCTCTTGCTGCTTGGCCCACCTATGCTTCTAGTGGCCCATGATGGCCATAGCCCTCTGCAAAAGGACCTGAGCTGCGTTAAAGCTCTCAACAGGCCCTGCCCCTTCGATCATTTCTTGGTCCCCAGCGCTCAACGAGCTTGTGGGGAAGAATTTCTCGGCGGTCACCCCTGCACTCCATAACGAGTCCATGTCAGCCGAGGCGCTAACATGGTCCAACCTCATGTCGGAGCGACCCTTCCCGAAGCGGTGAGCGAGGTATCGGCTTCGGGAAACCCCCTGGGACGAACCAGGTGAAGGGGCAGACATGACAGGCGTCGTCGTCGGGACCTCAAAACTTGGCTCCTTGCCACGAACCTCGGCAGAGGCAAAAGCCGGCGTCCCCTGCTCGGCAACTGGAGGGTCAGCGATAGGAGTATCCGACCTCGCCTATAAAATCACCACCATGTCAAAAAAGGAAAAGGACAACATACGAGGAATCACAAAAAGCAGGGTACACTACCTACCTCAGCAACGTGGGCAGCCTGCTCGGTGGTTGGGGTCGCCACCTCGGCAACCCGGGCGGCCTGCCCAGCAGCCTGGGTCGCCGCCTCGG